AACTACTTCGTATGACTATATATGAAAAAGATCAAGATATAATTAAATTATAGAGCTAAGGAAAAGAGATACAAGTATAAAAAATATAATATTCTTGTAATTCCGAGACCACAGTGTTGTAAGAAATGTTTCCGTTTGGCTTTAAAAATCCAAATCTCGGGGGAGCGAGGTCCTCATCGTGATCATCTATTCCATTTGTTTACTTTTAAATTTTATGTGAAAAGCTTTCCTTATGGTGGAACCTGAATAATGCATATAACAAATCACTTTTTAGCTCACCTGGCCCAAAGGGCCAAGTGAGCTTTTCTCATCACTTGGCGTCCGTCGTCTTCGTCGTCGTCCTTCGTCGTTAACTTTTACAAAAATCTTCTCCTCTGAAACTACTTAGCCAAATTCGACCAAACTTAGCCACAATCATCATTGGGGTATCTAGTTTAAAAAATTAGTCCGGTGACCCGGCCAACCAACCAATATGGCCGCCATGGCTAAAAATAGAACATAGGGGTAAAATGTAGATTTTGGCTTATATCTCTGACACCAAAGCATTTAGGGCAAATCTGACATGGGATAAAATTGTTTATCAGGTCAAGATCTATCTGCCCTGAAATTTTCAGATGAATCGGACAACCCGTTGTTGGGTTGCTGCCCCATAATTGGTAATTTTAAGGAAATTTTGCCGTTTTTGGTTATTATCTTGAATATTATTATAGATAGAGATAAACTGTAAACAGCAATAATGTTCAGCAAAGTATGATCTACAAATTAAGTCAACTTGACCAAAATGGTCAGTTGACCCCTTAAGGAGTTATTGCCCTTTATAGTCAATTTTTAACCATTTTTCGTAAATTTTTGTAATCTTTTACAAAAATCTTCTCCTCTGAAACTAATAAGACAAATTCAGCCAAACTTGTCCACAATCATCATTAGGGTATCTAGTTTAAAAAATGTGTCCGATGACCCCGCCCGCGAACCAAGATGGCCAACATGGCTAAAAAATAGTACATAGGGTAAAATGCAGTTTTTGGCTCATATCTCTGAAACCAAAGCATTTAGAGCAAATCTGATAACAATAAAATTGTTTATTAGGTCAAGATCTATCTGCCCTGAAATTTTCAGACCAATCAGGCAACACGTTGTTGGGTTGCTGCCCCTGAATTGGTAATTTTAAGAAAATTTTGCAGCTTTTGGTTATTATCTTGAATATTATTATAGATAGAGATAAACTGTAAACAACAATAATGTACAGCAAAGTTAGATCTACAAATAAGGCAACATGACCAAAATTGTCAATTGACCCCTTAAGGAGTTATTGCCCTTTATAGTCAATTTTTTACAATTTTCATAAATTTTGTAAATTTTTGTAAATTTTTACAAAGTATTTCCCACTGTAACTACCGGGCCAAGTTCATTATATATAGAGATAATAGTAAGGAGCAAGAATGTTCAGTAAAGTAAGATCTACAAACACATCACCATCACCAAAACACAATTTTGTCATGAATCCATCTGTGTCCTTTGTTTAATATGCACATAGACCAAGGTGAGCGACACAGGCTCTTTAGAGCCTCTTAGTTTCAGTTTTAAGAACATACAAGAAAGGGTTAATTAATTCATGTAATTTGAAAATGTCCATTTTTTGTAAAAAGAGTTTTATTTCAAATTTTTCAACTGGAAAATAAAGGGTCGTCTAAAATCGTCTTTTCTTCACACAAGTGCAATCTTCTATCCAGCTCTATTGATATACAAGGGATGGAATATGAGTGACTATTTTAATACGGCACCATTTTTCTGTGTAAGTCAACGGCGGTTGTTTCCACTCATGTCAGAATTGATTTATTGTCCCAGTCGTTGTTTTTTCGGTAATATTTGAGTGTTTTTATTTTGTCCAAGCAGTTGTGTTTGTTTATATCCGACTGCTATATTTTATTTTGGGAAATGAATGCTGATAGCAATTTTTAGTAGTCTCTGATATTTTTTCACAGATTATCATACTTTATCCTTTAGTGTTTGAAATATCGTATAATGTCCGACTATCTTTTAAAAATGTAAGTTTACCTCTATAAATCTTTGTTTTATTGTGTGTGTCCTGGAGTTAAAGTCTTATTTACACCGAGTCTGCAACTCTTTTTAAAATTAGAGAAGGGTTTTTAAAGTAACCATTTTGTGGTTATGTTTGTGCATGTATCAAATCAAATTCAAAATCTTAAAGAATCAACCACAGTCAAAAGGAAAGTACGTCGTCCGTAATTATGATTGGGGAAAACTTTTGGTACCAACATTTACCTCTTTTTATTTAATATTCAAACTAACCATGTACTAGTTTTGAAAAATAGATACTACATCATAAAGTTGGAAGCAATGAAAGAAAATAGTTACAGCATTTGGGGCCATATCGATTTTACCGAAATTCCTAAATGAACTCTTGCCAAAATATTGTGTCTCTACGATAAGATAGTTTCTTCTCATCATCTGCCTAAATCACACCACTGAAAAAAGATTTATATAAGATTTTCGATGTCAATGATCGCAACAAGAAATAGAAAATAATTTTATCGACAGGCCTCATTTAATGACAAAACTGATTTAAGTCGGACATGTATCTAACACACCAAAGAATTTCTTAAACCTGTACCTATAATTGTTCTTTACTGAACTTAAGTTCAAAACATTTAAATATTATCTGTAAAAATCGGCTTATTCCATAAAAGGGTCAAGACAGTTTGAACCACAAATAAACATCAAATGTTACATAAAATAATAAAGATATGGCGAAATTAATTGAACTTCGAATGCCTTTGACCTTTGACATGTAAAATATTGACTTGAATACTAAAAAAAAAGAAAAAAAAGATCAGTTTAGGCGCGCTATATGAAAAAAGAAGCAAAACTGGTGGTTAAAGTTAACTACAACTGGTTTAGTCAGACATTTGACAATCCTCAAAACCAAATCGGCAAATCAAAATGAAGGATAAGTCACACAATTGTAATGTTAAAGTAAACTTATTTCAGATTATACATTATCAGAAAAAAGATAAGTTATTATTGTGAATATTCATGAAATATTTGTCGTTGAACGCAGTTGTCATTCGATTTATCAATTGCTCAATCAGTTAAGACTTTGGTGGTTAAATCATTACAATGTTATATACTAGTATCCCGATTTTTGTGGTGATGTGCAAAGTGTTAAGTCGGACTCTACATCGATGGTGCTTTAAAAAATAAACCAGACCGACGCTAACAATGAAGAAACTGAGAACACTGCTCGTCTTTTGAATCCCTCGATGATATCAAATCTTGCATGATCCTTTATATCAAAATACAGTAATTGAGATATATTTTCTTCAATATATCTTTGTTGTTTGTAATATTTATCATGTTATAAAAACCTTCATTTATTTCATTTATTTCCATATTGTCGTTTTTTTTATGGTATTCTAGAAAAAGAAATAGAAATGAAATAAAATAACTTCGATTTCCAACTCGAACATAAAAAATCACTGAATATACGCAAGGTCCGCTACGTGTACTCAAGTTTAAAGGTTAGTCCCGAGAATGTTGGAAATTTCCCCGAATGTACGAGATGTCTAATAGATCTAAATCGATTAACGAGGCCGATAACGTGCATGTGCTTGTAGGTAATGTGTTGACGTAACGTTACGTATCGTTTATAGTAACGTCATCCAAATATGTATGGCAACGTAACAATGTGAAAAAACAGCGTCTCGGCGCTCAAAGGGTTAACCCTTTGACTGCCAATATATTGGAAAACGCTTTACCTTTGACTGCCAAGAATCGGCCCGGCGTCGTACGTTTTCAAACAGCGCCATGGCAACCTTTACAACAATTGATAACGTCACGCTATTGTGCATGGTACCTGCATAGGATTGCTCGTTTTGATGACACCACACAGCTGTCTGCTTTGTTGATTTATCGCTCTCAAATTTATATATTTAGGCTGAAGGTTGATAAAATAATATAAAAAAATTTACTGTACTAAAAGGTGAAATATATGGGTCAAGTGAAATACCTTTCTAATGAGTCATAAAAACAGAGTTGGTGTGTTCGAATAACAAATTTTTACTAAAAGTACTTGACGACAAACTTTTCTGTTGGGTCTTAAAAATGCATAACTTCAAAAAAATTTCAGTTTTTGTGTGTGTTACATGTATCTACGGTAATCATTCTTCAACCTATGAATATTTTTAGTCTGCCCTTCCACGAAATAATCAATTAGAATTTTTTAAAATATTTTTGAACTTTCGAAAATTCCCCCTGACAACCGATCAGACAATAATTTTTTTAAAGTTGAACAAATGCATAAAAGTACATTAAATGATGCTCAAAAGCTAGTAGATACATTTGTCTTTTAAAAATACAACTGGCATATAAGGATCGTATTGATACTATGTGGATAAATTTATCGGTTTTCAAGGGCTAAATTGACAGCGCGTCATCACTACAATGGCTTCCATTTTAACGATTATAAAAATTAGGTGGCGTAATGGGGAGATAATTTTGACGAAGTAGAATCCTGACTGAATGGACATTAAAACAAAAATGTTTTTTCGTGGTGAATTTATAAATATTAAAACATATCTGCCGCCGAAATATAATGTGAATTGTGAAAGAAGGTACATTTTTAATTTGTGTAAATGTTTAAAATCTCTCGTAAATGTGTACCACATACTGAGGCACTTTGGACAATAAAAGACACAAGACAAATGTAATTATATAATACAATATTAACAATGTATTTCTGATTAACATTCGTGCCTCTGAAGGCAAGCTGCATGTAGTCCTCTGGTACAGTGCACACAAGAGGTTCTTGATCTTTTTCTTATATTTCGCTTTCTGTCGGAACAAACGACACAATCTCGTTCTTTTCGACCGTCAAGTTTTTTCACTCTTGCTTGCCGATTCACGTTACCATGTCTGTGTGTCAAATGAGCGGACGCTAAACTTTCTATTACAGATTGGTTGAACTGAAGTCGGGACATAACCGGTAATGAGGTGTTATGACTGTATAGGATATACGCGTTTAACATAATGCGGTGAAATATGTGATATATAATTTTTTTCCATACTTTACTGCATTTCCTGTGATCATTATATGCGCCAATCAATTGGTCGCTAAGGTCGACACCGCCCATAAATGTATTATACGCGCCTATGATCCTAGGTTTACCGTTTAGTGTATCAATAGCATTGTAGTAAGTAGACACCAATGTGACGGGGTTTTTTCTGTTGTGGTCGCGGAAACGACAAAGCATGATTTGTCTTTGTCTAGCGTAAACAGCATTCCCTGCCTGCGGACGTGCATTTTTTATCATCTGTGGCATAGGTCTATTAGTTCTCATTGTGCCTGTGAGATACGTACGCTCTTTCAATAATTTGTTAGCTAAATTAAGTGAAGCAAAAAAGCTATCGGCGAAAACATGAAAGCCTTTCCCAAGAAGATGCGAATTCTTCATTAAATTTATTACTACATTTGTTCCTTGTAATGTTCCAGCAGGAGTGGGATCAAAACGTTTCCCGTGATATACATCCATCTGTAAAACATACCCGGTGACGGACTCGACCAACATCCAGAATTTAACGCCAAACCTTGAACGTTTACTTGGTATATACTGTAACATACTTGTCTTTCCTTTTGTACCAACAAGGGATTCATCTACAGCAAGTTCTCTGCGGGGATTATAATACCGTAAAAATTTCCTGTTAACGAAATCAAGTAACGGTTTAAACCTTTGAGATGGTTTGTAAGTTGGATCATTACGCTTAGGGAGTTTTTTGGTGTCCACCAGGTGCAAAAAATTTAAGATGTTTTGGAATCGGTTTCGACTAAACATACAACGGAACCAGGGTGTAGACTGAGATGGACTGTGCTTATTCCAATATTCTTCAAATGATACTTTCCTAATTAAGCCCATGTTATAAAAAACGGCAAGGAATCCCTTAAACTCAGGTATGGTCAGTTTACCCTCCTTCTGCCACTGCATTTTTCTCGAAAATCGACTGGTTTGGCGAATGGTTTCATTACAAAGATTCTTTGCATATCTACAAAAAAAATCAAAAATAATCATATACATTTATTATATAAAGTCGTAGAATCTTTAATGTAAATATCTATTTTTTTAAGGGAACGACCATATTACTTTGAAAATGTATATTTGTTGGTGGTGGTGATTAAGTGGGGTTATTTTTATTTTCTTCATTTGTTTTTGTATTTGCAGTCGGAAAGCTGACCCCGGTTTGACCCCATTTCTTAAAGCAACAATGGAAGTCATGTGATTACCATGTAAGGGCATTTTTTTACCAAAAAAAGTGAAGCCCGTTTTTTGGAATTTGTAGTTTTTTGCATGAATTAAAACTAATTTGCTTTTAAGTGAACATTCTTGAGTATATAAGAAATATATTGATCCACTCAATTATGGATTAAACTAATTTTTTCTCTCAAAATGTGTCTTCAAAGTCTAGGTGTTGACCAAAAAAATCGGTCACTGGAAATTAAAATCGTAATTTTCTTTCTTAACTTCTCGGGAAGCTATGCTGAATTTAAATTATGTTATGTAACATAACTTTGACTATGATATGTCAAATTTGTGCCACTTAATACGCTGTAATACGCAAATGTGCCACTTCGATGTGTCGATATTTCTGACGAAGCGAGGCCGATAGTAATTTACGAGTTACGTCCCTTTGTTTGACACTCTCATGATCAAACTATTATTATATTAAGCACCATAAGCTGTCATTTACATGAGGATATTATTAAAATAATTTTATTGAATATATTTTGATACTAAAGACATGTGCAAAAAAATTAGCGAAACACATTTTATCACTTTTCAGAACTCAGTCTCAGTGAACATATGTGACATAATATTATTATTCCAAGAGTTAATTTAATATTTATATTTTGGTAAGTATTTATACTGCTGTAACCAAATTATTTCAACACAGAAATAAATTTCTACTTTAATCATACAAGGGGTAGCCAAAATATTCATGAATAATGGATCAAGACAGGATTAAAATGATCAAATACAGGAACTCCTTTTCATTACTGATACCTGATCCTACCTTTTTCATTTAAACTTAAACGAGACCATAATGAAAGTATTCTGAATGTAAATTCTTCATTATTTGAAATAAAAGGAAATTAGTTTGTAATTCTTGTATGAACAAACTAAAGTAAATATAACAATAAATTTTGTCTCACTGATTCCATGCAGATTCTAATGAATGGACTCAAATTATAAAAAAAAACACTAAACCAATAAATAAATGGTTCTAATCATGAACTTGAAAATATAAAGAACAAAAAAGACTGGGTCTTATATTTTTTTCTTCTATTTAATTTTTTTTTAACAATTATGCATTTTTATATTTATATAAAAGTATTTCAGAGCAGATTATGAGTGCAAAGTCAACAATATTATGTTTTAGATCACAAGTCATAAGTAAGTCACACTTCATGTCAGTATGAACATGCTTTAAATAAGAGTGATTAAAATGCTAGTCTGAAAGAGATTCATTTACCTTTGCCTTTGGCAGTTTTGCAGGATTACTTCATGATCATCACAATTTTTTTTATAATATTATAAACGATGAATGAGTTTTGGTTAAGGTTGTGTAAAGACAGTATACGATTTGCTTACCTTGTTTTAGTTAAGTCAAACAATTCACTGACTTAAAGAGAATAATTAATCCAGTCAAATATTCACAGCTGAACTCGTCATTGCTTTTTCAAACAAACACACTAAATGTGTGTACATTGTGTAAAGATGCAAGTTGACATCGATGTGTAAGATAAAAAAAACTACAATGTCAAAAAATGTCTTTCGTTTGGAATTTAGTTCGAACGGGGTTTCTAAGGGGTGATAGAACGTTAGACTTGATTTTTGTTTAACTTTGAGATACTTATTATTAATTTTTTATATAGTTTGTATATTCTTTGTTTATCTGGAAAAAAAAAGAAGAAAAAAATAACAGACAATTTTGCATAATTCTTAAACGACGATCAAAGGCATTACGTTATTTTTAAAAGACGGACAATTTATAACATGTTTAAGTATTATTTTCTTTGATAATAAGACCCATGCTTGAAAAATCGAAAGAAATCTATGTCTGACCCTAATGGCAAGTAAGAAACAGAAAAAAGAAAAAATTCCAAATTGGCGCCAAATTATTTTTAACGCGAAATTAACTCAATTTCAGAATGGCGGGTTTTAATATCAGTCCCATTGTTGTCTTAAGAAAGTAGCAACAACGGTCGTTTCTAAGGGCTTGCTTTCCGACTGTTTGGTGATTTGTTGATGTCTTCGTGCCAGTAACTTATATCCGTTTTAATGTTTTGTTTCCGTATACTGCTCGAATAACCGTTTCTTTTGAGTTACACGTGCTTTTGTGATATTTTATATTCTGTCATTGTGGCGCTTCCCCTGTATCTGAGCAAGCTGCAACGCAACCACAGAAAAACATAATGTTCATTACTCTTTATTGAGCTGAACGAACAAATAGTCGTGTTAAGCTGTCTTTCTATTATTTTATATAAAAGTGTTCAAAAAATTTCTAAATTATGTTTTAGAAAGAACAATTTCATAAAATGAAACAACTTGTAATCACAAAGACTTAAATTGTATGACTTTGTTGATTATTTTATTGACTGTGTCATTAACATTTCAACGGCGCGTTGGTTCTATATTGATGGTAAAAAATTGCAATATGGCTATGAAAGATACGTCTAGTAACTATAAACTAACTCAGAAAAGATTATTTTACCAACCTGTTTGTTTGTTTGACAAACTCTTTGATAAGGTCAATAGAAAACAGCAAATAAAAGTAAGCTATTGGCGCGGCATCTCTGGGCGGCATATTAATGGGTCCAGTGGGTGCTCTATTAAACGGTGGGTCATTCATTGGCTCTGGTGGGAGAACCCGGAACCATGGATTAGGTTCAATTGCAGCCATGTTTCCTTCAGCGCTGCTCAGAGTCTATGACGTCAAGATTACGTCATTGATGCTGCACATCGGCCAAAGCCGATGCCTGGCAGTCAAAGGTACATTTTTAAAATCGGCGCGTTTTTTTGTTGTGTTTATGAGGGATGCCCCCTTTTGACACGTGATATTCCAGGTACATGAAAAAAAGAGTATTCTGTACTCAAAGGAATGGAACACAGTATTCAGAAATTAACGTGTTGGTACTCGATACGCCGGAATCATAATTGTTTCTGTTTATGCCCCCACCCACCGAAGGCGGCATTAAGTGACTCTTAAGTGTTACCTTTGACCACCCGTCCGTCCGACCTGGTTTTAGGTTTCCGCGCTTAAAACCGAAGTAAAAAGTCGAAGACGATTATGAAAAGTTTATAGAGGGATAAATGCAATAAAAAATATAACTTAAAAAATAATTCATTCATGTCATGCTCTATGCTCATTTTAACATGGGTAGTCATTATTTTTGTCTATATTTTACACTGAGCGTTATGTCGATTCTAATAGGGCAAATACAGTATTTTTATAGGTCGAAGCGCACGAAAATACCTGAAAAATGTTTGGCTGTTCTCGTTTCCTCCCAATGGAGTCTGTACATTACATTTTCATATTTAATTACTTTAAAAACTAAAAGCAGGATAAATATGTGTTCTTTGATAAACAATACATAATAAAAGTTTTTGTAAGCTGCTAAAATATATATACTTTATTAGAATAACAATGAAAATAACGAAAATATAAACAGTAAATTTGTGCGCAGGTGTCAAACATATTTTGTGCTAATTAGGACACGGCTTTGTTTCCAAGGCGTAACAAGGACGTCATATTAGAATGATCAATGATTTATGCTCTTTAAGTCCATCATTGGTCCATATGCACATCAACAAAATAAAAGAAAGTTTTGTTTTATTCCTATATCATAAAATTGAGAAAGAAAATGGGGAATATGTCAAAGAGACAACAACCCGACCAAAGAGCAGATAACAGCCGAAGGCACCCGGAGTATGATAAAGACGCATTTATACAATGAAGATATTGGAGCTGGGACGACTTTTAAACATATCCGCCGTATTTGGAAAAATCAATAGAAAGAAATATGTGAATGTAATCAAATGACAATGCACTTCTGGGTAATAATGTAATAATAAGGATGGCTGGATCATGATGGGGCTTCATCGAAAGAAAAGTCAATGAGCCCGGTAGCAGAACTCTGAACAACGGCTGATTTTCTTTCCACGCCGGCTTCGCTGGGCGCTGCAAATTCTCTATGACGTCAAAGAACAACGTCACAGCGGAAAACAACATCGGCTTTGGGCCGATCCATGGCAGTCAAAGGTACTGTTTCTGCATCGGCCAAATCGGCCCTATGGCAGAAAGGAGGTTAATGACGTCTTTACACTAAATACATTGGATGTTAGATGTGTACTGATGGATTTTTTAGTCTTAGATACATGATTTTTTTATAAGTTGTTTTGGCTTTGAACTAGCTGTCAGTAACTGCGAGTACCTTCAGATCTTTACTTAGTGTATGTTTTGTTGTTGGATGTATAGATACGCTGCACGTCCGATCTGTGTTTTCGTTAGATGTTAATGTTTTTTGCTTTGTATCGATCGATCTTGAGATAAGTCCTTTTCAACTGATTTTCATAGTTGTTCTAATGTTGTACTGTTACAGCACTGTCAAAGGTTAGGGTTTAGCGACAGCAAACTAGTTTAACCCCGCCACATTGTATATGTGCCTTTCCCAAGTCAAGAGCCTGTAATTGAGTGGTTGTCGTTTTTTGCTGTTTCTCATATTGGTTATCCGTTTATTGTGTTGTATAGTTGTTCCTGTGTTGTGCTGTTACTCCAATATCCCAGGTTCGGGAGAGGGTTGTCGATTCAAACTAGTTTAATTCCGCTACATTCTGTATGTGCCTGTCCCAAGTCAGAAGTCTAGAGCTCATTAGTTGTCGTTGGTTCATGTCTGCCATATTTGTTTTTCGCAAATTGTTTTGTTATAAATTAGGCCGTTAGTTTTCTCAATTGAATTGTTTTATATTTTTCAGGTCGCGGACTTTTATAGCCGACTATACGGTCTAGGTTTTTCTCAGTGTTGAAGGCCTATAATTGCTAACATCAACTTCATTTGAACTTTGGTAGATAGTTGTCTCATTGGCAATTATACCACATCTCCTTATTTTTATATTAGAGTATAAATAATGTCAAAGTGTAGGGTAAAATATCT